CCGGTTACCTCCCCAAAATTTACGTTCAAAATTTTGATCCCAGCACGTTTCAGGGTTTTTCGTAGTATGAGTATTCTGCAGTCGGTAACGCCCGATTGCAACGTTCTTATATGTTATCTATATACATACATATATATTAGTTTGTTTTTGTTTTTGTTTTTTGCTTTTTCCACGAATTGGCGAAATTGCGGGTGTTGCTGTTCGTTGTCTATCCATCCCCAACAGGTTACTAGACGAAGTCTCAGTCTCTGTCTCTGTCTCAGTCGCAGTCGGGGAGTGGCAGGCAGACAGACAGAGAGACGAAGGCGACCAGCCCATCTATGTCGAAACGAAGACGACGATCGCATTATGCGGCACTGTTTAGTGCGCGCCAGCCTCAGTTCCTCCATAATTAGTCATATTTGTTTAGCATCAAAAAGTTGTGAATGACTTCGCCAGCCTGGCTGCCAGTGGATCAGCGGCTCGTAGCAGTCAGTGATGAGCCACTGAGCACGATTCAGTGTGGGCTTAATCCAATCAGAATTGAATAAGCATATATAAAGTGTTTATATAAGCAGTGATTATAATAGTATAATAATATCGAATAGTGAAAAGATATATGATTACTGTAAATATGCTAAGATTCATATCGTTATTGTAATATGATTACTGTGAATATGCTTAAATTCATAACAGTTTTTGTATAGTTAAGCTGCTGTTTCAATAAAGCCTTATATAAGCTTAGAAATTTGTACTATATGATATTGAAGTCTTTGAACTTATATGAGATTGAAATTTCAATATTATGTTAAGACAGTCCACAGGAAATTTTAGTGTTTAGTTTATAGCTCAATAAATAAATTTAATCTGCTGAATTTTTGAGCGCTGCGAAGTTTATATGGAAGTTCTAATGATACGATAGTAAGATGATATGGCTTTAGGCTTTTAATGCAAAGACTTAAGCTTTGCCAGAGCCTTATATAACTTATCTGACAGCTATCAGCTTGACAAATCGTGCTCGTGACACGACACGAGCTCAGCTCGATTGAGTGGCAGCTGAGTGTCTGGTCCTGGCCAACTAAGGCGCTGCACGTTGAGCGGCCATTAGGCGGCGCACTTTACGCTTAACGCGCACACTGCGTTCTGTCAGCGCTGGATTTTCACTTTCTTTTAGAAACCGTACGCTACGTATGCAGTTGATGTTTGTTTTTGTTGCTGTTTCTGTTTTTTGTATTTTTTCACTTTTCAATAATTCGAATTTCGAATGCGTGCAACAATGTAGCCAAAGTGCGAGGAGCTCTGACGGCGCGCCGTAGGCCAAACCGAAAAAAAAGCAAAAGCAAAAAGCGCATGAAACACAAAATTTGTTTATCTAATTAGCTATGCACCGGGCGACAACAACATTTCACTTGCTTCATTGTGGCTCGATTTTCGCCAGCCTTAGCATGCATGGCAGGTGCCAACAGTGGCAACGGCGGCAGCGGCAGCAAATCGAAACTGCCCTAACCCAAATGCAAGCCAAGAGACAAATGAAAGTGTTCTACGCAAAGGTAGCGGAAGTTGTTGTGGGTGAAATTAATATTGTGGCTAGTGAAAGGTTGCCTAATTTCAGATCGTTAAACGTGCACCGCGCACCACATTTCTGTCGAGCTGCCGCACTGTGCGTGTGTGCGTTTGCGTCTCTCTCTCTCTCTCTCTCTCTCTCTCTCTATGATGACTCTTTCCATGCAGCAACATGTTCATTAAAGCCGCACAGCACCATAAAACACAAACAACAACAACAACAACAGCAACAGCATCAAGAGCAAGAGCTGAAAGGAAAAACAAATTTGCATGCTGGCAACATAAATCGTTGCACAAAATATTTAACAAGTCAGCAGCAACAGTTGAAATCAATAAATTTATTGATACAATTTATATACGCGACGCAGGACGTTCAACATGCAACACGCAATGCAGCGCTAATTAGAGGGGGGGCAGCAGGAGTGGCAGGAGACTGCAGCAAAACTAACCAATTGACCAACTTCGGTCGCTTCGCCTCCATTTCTCATACAAAGCGAAGCCGACAAAGCGCAGGGGCAAAGAGCTGAATGCGGGCGTGTGTGTGTGTGTGTGAGAATGTATATCACTGTATGTGTATGTTCGTATAAGTGGGCGTGCCTG